CTCTGAAATCACATACACAATCCTGAGTGCATGTGCTTTTCTCCTTGGGAGCAGATCCTAACTCTCATCAAATTCCTAAGGGATTTCATGACCAAAAAGGTTAAAAACCATGGCAGTGAGTTTCCATATTAGGAGAAACAATAACCAGGGTTTTATTATTACTTTTCCAATAGAAGATTTTTGTCTCCAACCTTTATATGCCTACTTGAGTCACCTTTTTTCTAGACAGTATTTTAGGAAAACGTTAGTTTGCAAATTTCTTTGAGTCATATTCTTTACTATAAGTGCTTAGAAGTTAACTAAGGTTATGAATTATCCTAATAGTGTCATTAGAATTTGAGGAAAATGCACTTATACCAAGTTAGACCTTTAAATAATAAATAGGAGAACCTGGGCCCTTTTTAGATTGCTAGAAACTTATGAGTGTGCAAATATGGACTCCCTATGTCATTTAATCCCTTAGTCCTTAGATACAGTGGTATGTCCTTTAACTTACTATTTTTACCATCTGAAAACCCTACTCACTGTATGTATAGGGCCCATTGGCTTAAGATTTCTCTTCTTGCAGTGGAACCTTACCAAGCTGTCATCTTCATCAGCCTTATTTAGTTATGTTGTTGAGTCACCTCAGAACTTCCTTACTGAAGTCTTCCTTTTGTCTCTACTGGCATCAACTTCACTCTTAGCAGCTGTATTTCATAGTGAAGCTTCTCAGCTGGTTGACTTCCTAGGTAATTTATGCATAAGGAACCTTCAGAAGTTGCCATCCTTCCCTTCCCCACCCGAACACACTTTATATAAAAACAATACAACAGAGAGAAACCTGTTGGTAGTGTTGTTAGCAAGATGTTTTCTGGGGACCATCTGCATCAGCATCAGCCCAGACCTTTTAAATTTTTGAGGGTGGGGCCAGGAAATGCTTCTGGCTTTTTTCCACAGGTTCTCCAATCATTCTGATGCACAACAAAAGTTGAGAATGACTGGTATAGGGGAAAGCATGGGCTTTGGAGTAAAGACAGGCCTTGGGCAGCTTACTTGCTCTTTCTGGCTTCCATGTCTGCACTTGTAAATAAGGATTTTAGTATCTGTGTTGTCATGTGAATTTCAAATGATGCATTTAAAGCAGCTAGTGCAGTGCTTTATTAGTGTTCTGTAAATGTAATGATGGGTGTAAGTAGGTATTGTTGATGATATGCTGTGCCTGGATGGAGATGGTTTAGGAGAGCAAGTTTTAAAGTGTCTCATCATATGAATTCAGGCTACATGAAGCTTTTGACTACAGAAAATGACATAATTTAGTAGGTGAGAATATGAGCCCAAGTGATCATAGTAATTTTACCGGTAGATTTCCTAATGTTATATCTCTAATGCTTAGTAATTTTTTCTCTTTAAGATAGTGATTTTAACGAAAAAAAAATTACCGTTAGTGCCTATTGAGTGTGTAAATAAAATATTTACAAAATGTTCAACTAATTAAGAATCCTTTTGTTTTTGTTGCTTAGGTTAGGGTTTTTTTTTTTTTTTTTAAGATTTTATTTATTTGAGGTAGAGAAGGAGAGAGAATATGAGCAGAGGGAGAGGGAGAGGGAGAAACAGACTCACTGCTGAGCAGAGAGCATGACACGGGGCTCGATTCCAGGACCCTGAGATCATGCCCTGAGTTGAAGGCAGACCCTTTAACCAACTGAGCCACCAGGCACCCCTCTTTTTTTTTAAGATTTGATTTTTAAGAAATTTCTACACCCAACATAAGGCTTGAACTCACAACCCCAAGATCAAGAGTCACATGCTCCACAGATTGAGCCAGCCAACTGGGTGCCCCAGGGTGATTCTAGTTGATTTTAAAATATAACAATGGAAATTATATGTGATACATGTGATATACTGCTTTGCTAGAATCTTTCTGTGCTTAAGTCTTGCTTTAAAAGCACTATGTGCAGATATAAATACTAATAGAAAATTACTATTTTACAAATCCATTTGGACATAATTATGCTAGTGAGTAGTAAATAATACTTAATTTTCTCAGATTCCATGATAAACAGTTTAGGAACAATTATAAACAAGTGTCAGTAAGGTACTAGATTAAAGGTTATAGCGCAACTTGAGAAAACCAGAATAAATCACCACCTGATTAGGTGGAGAGTTTATCATTGGTTTTAAATTTATCTTTTTTATAAAGTTCTTTAAACATTTGGAGCTGATATGTGAAACATCTTTTTCTCTAGTAATACTTGATAATTGACAGAGTAGAAAACTCTTCAATTTCTTTATATTTTATAATTTAAAATTTATTTTATAGTGTTAGGACATATGTATATGTATATTCCAGTTCTCCCTTAATCCCATTGTGCTTTCAGTTAATAATTTTGCCTCAGTTCTTTAGGAAGTAGAAACTACCACAAAAGAATCCTCTCATTTAGGACCACCAAATTTGCTCAGCTCTCTCTGTGTGCTTTTATTCCTGAATGTTGCCTTCTCTACGATTACTTGGAAAAAGTGCTTCAGCTCCTGTCCAAGGCCAGGTTCTCCATTTGTACTACAGATTCCACCCCTTTCTAGTTTTGCGTATAATCCCTTCCCTTTCTTATGTCAAGAGTTTGGCTCTCTGGATCATTTGCATTAGCAGGATGTGCTCTTCTGTTTCTTAACTTTAAGTATTATGGAATCCTTTGACTCTGCATTCCTCTTCAGCAGTTAATTCCTTTTTATAATCCTGTAGTCACACAGCTGGAAAGAATAGAAGAGTAGTCTACAGTGGCTGCTATACTTATTCATATCGCATTCTTTCTTCAACATATTCCACTTGTGCTTCTGTCCCTACGATGTATCCTTGAAACTGCTCATGTTGGAGTCAACAAATTATCTCCACATTGCCAAACCCACTGTCAGTGTGCTGTTCTTATTTACCTCAAGTTGACTTTTTCCTCAACTTTGTTCTTTTAACACTACATTGTAGCACACTTTTTTGGTTTTCCTTCTGCTTCTTTGATGGTTTCTTCTCAATCTCCTTTATGAACTCTTCTGCTTTATTAACTTTTCTACCCCAGGCTCTTTTCTGGCCATCTGTTTTTTTTACATCCACAAACTTTTCTGGTGATTTCATTCTAAATACTTACCTTAAATACTGTTTACTCAAATGATCCAAATCTATAGTTCTAGCCCTTCCCTCTTCCAAGAGCTCCTGGTGATATAGCTAATATCTAGGAAACCTCTACTTAGGCATTTTATAGTAATCTCAGCTTCTCTTGGCCAAAAGAGAATTCTAGATTTCCTTTTCACCCCCAATTCTGAAACCCTTATCTCCGTCTTTTCCCTGATGACATCAGCATCCAATCAGTATCCTGTAGATTCTAGCTCTTAAATCTATCACAAGTTAGTCTAATTTTTTTTTTCATCACTACTTATATAGTAAATAGTTAAGAACTGGTTCTGGAATCTGACTGCCTTGGTTCAAATTCTGATTCTCACAGTTTCTGTGACCTGGGGCAGGTTACTTAACCTTGCTGTACCTCAGTGTTTTGTTGGTAAAAATGTAAAATTATTAGAACAGTGGTGAGACGTAGTACATAGTAGAATGGTTTTTCTCAAATATAAATTATATAACATTATTTTCAGGCCAAAATAGTCTTGAGGGCTTTGCATTGATTACATTTGCTGTAAACTTCAGACTTACATGGCTTACAAAGCTTTAAAGCTAGCCCCTGCTGACCTTTCTTAACTTTATTTCTTACCTCATTACTCTTTTCTTACTATGATACAGGTGTATTGCTTGTTTTTCTTTAAACAGAGTAAATTATATCATCCTCGGAATCTTTGTAACTGTTTGTTTTCTATGCTTGGGATATACCCTCTCTCGTCCTCGTCATTCATATCTTCATTTAATATTACCTTTCAGAGAGGCCTTCACTGACCACCCAACCAAAAGAAGCCACTCCAATCATCTGTGTCTCAACACCTTATTTCAAGTTTCTGCCAAGAACTTAACATTACCTAATATTTATATTTGTGTGTTACCTGCTTTCTCCACTAAAATGTGAATTCCAAATCTCTATACCTGTGTGAGTTCACACTGTATCCCTAGCCCATAGTGTAGTGCTCAGCTTCGTGGTAAAGTGATAGAGAAACTTTCAAGAATGTAATTGCCTTTATTTTTTATTTTATTTGTCAAATTTCCTGATCTGTAATACAGTGTCCTGAATGGAGCCAAGCTCAGGAAAATAGTGCCTTACTTTCTTTGGCCTTAAACTAGATTCAGCTCCCAGTTACCAACTAGATTCTTCATCGAGTACATAATTGGATTTTCCCAGGATATGTTGACCACTGAGTTAACTGACCTATCTGAGCATAAAAGATTTGATTTTGCTTTAATATAGCACCCTTTGAGGGCACCTGGGTGGCTCAGTCATTAAGGGTCTGCCTTCGGCTCAGGTCATAATCCCGGGTTCCTGGGATCGAGCCCCGCAACGGGCTCCCTGCTCAGTGGGGAGCCTGCTTCTCCCTCTCCCACTCCCCCTGCTTGTGTTCCCTCTCTCGCTGTGTCTCTCTCTGTCAAATAAATAAATAAATAAAATCTTAAAAAAAAAAAATATATATATAGCACTCTTTGAGTATTTGTTATATACACTTCTTAACTACTGAAATGCTCTCAAATGAGCCAAAAGGATTGTTTAAGCAGTTGTCACTTACACTCATCTTGTTAAGGCATTGAAAGTTAACAAAAATATATAATAGAACTTGGTACCTGAACAGAAATGTAAAATCACTGATCTCATTTCCGGTAGTTAACCTGTGAGTTTAAAGTTAACTGTACTGTTTTTAGTTTAATAAGCGAAGACTTGTTTTGTCAGTGACTTTAGAAGTTTCTATTGTTCTAGTAGGTAAAAGCTAAAGAGGAAAATCATGACTTAATAGTGATGAAAGGTATGTGAATGGATCTATAAAATGAAAAAAGACGCTGAAACATGGGGCATCTTCATTCTAAAACTGGAAAAAATGTCTAAAATAGCTTCTTTATTTTGAGCTACAGCATGGACAACACCAACAACACAGTACCTTACAAGGATTTCTTTTTTTGTATTTTACAGCTAGTCCAAATTTCTCCTTAGTAGTGTTAACATATTCTTTTGTACTGTTCACTATCATTTCAATATTGTTGATGCTTTCTCCTTGTTCCTCTACTAAAAGAGATATCTGAATGAAAAGGTCCCTTAAATCCTTTATTTGGTTCTCCAAATTAACAAGTTCCTTGTGTCTCTGTTCTATCTCTGCGAGTTGTGCTTTAGTGATAGTGATTTCTGTAAGTAAGCTTTCATTAAAAACTTCCCATTTTCCTTGATAAAGCATATCATTTACTTCTTCTTCAGGCATTTCTTTTCCAGCAACTTCAAGTTGACGGAAAATAAATGTCTTGCACTTCTCTTGCTTTGCTGCTATTGTGTCATTGTATGTAAACATAGTTTTCTGAAATTGGCGGAACATCACAGCATGCTGAGATTTAAGTATCCTTGTCACCACTGATGATGGACCATTTTCAGCCTCTGACTTTCTAACTTCTTTTACTAAATCATCCAAACCTCTGTTAATGTGTTCTGCTTGGGTTTTTATCTCCTTTGTAATGCTAGACTCTCTCTTAAGTAGACTAAACCTTCTCATTGAAGCCACCAGACTTCTCTGTTGTTGCCCAAATTTTTGAACATCATCTGTCAAATTGTTAATACTGTCCTGTAATTTTTGGATCTCATGTAGGTGTCTCTCAGCTACAGGCTCTTTTTCATAAATAACAGCTTGCTGCAAAAACACCCCTTGTTCTTCTGCTTCTGTAGTCGACACATGCCTGTCTCTAGAAAGTTCTATTTCCTTTGTTCGTTGCTTTAATTCTTGAAGTCGGTCTTTCATCTTCCCTTTCCTCTTAAGAAGCAAAAATGATTGTGTTGAACAAATAAAAGTTTGGCATTTTCTGTCAGTAGCAATTGGTTTCACAGAGCTATGTGTGTCTTCCAGGAAAAATCCTCCTAGTTTTCTGAAAGGAGGTTGAAAAATTAGAAAAATCATTAAGAATTTCCTCATAAACATAAACTGAATAGGAAAAGTAATATAAAATAATTTATAAGTTACTGTGCATCGTGTGGGCCTATTATGAGTCCTGTTCAGTTGAGTGAAGTAGCTGAGAGAGCAGTGATAAAGATACAGTTACCCCCCGGATAAATACTTCAGTGTCATGATACTGTCACATAGTAGATTTTTGTGCATATAGAGGATATATCTTTAAATGGAAGATTTGGCCATAACTTCAAGTTTTAGAAGTAAAAGGGCACTCTGAAAATGCCCTTACTACTAAAGATACTGTTCCCAGTTAATTTGACCTATGTCATCTTAAACTCATTTTGCTAAATATGCATAATTCAGTTAAAAACAGGATAGTGACAGGGCAGATTCCATTTGAGCAGTTGAAATAATATAGATAATATTGAATTTATTTTAAAAATTCTGAGGCTTCTAGATGGATTAACATTATTTGACATAGTTTTTTTTTTTTTTTTTTTTATCCATTACATACATACGAAAACATATTCCTGGTTTGATTATGCTGGTTTCTCTTTCTTAGCATTCCTTTGCAAAGATATCCAGACTTAGAACAAAATTTATGCCCATTCATTTTAAGTGCTATTTTTTTCAAACATGAGGATATATAAAGTCTTGTTTGGGGGTGCTGATAATATTGACATCATATCCTGTGTTGGTCATTATCCACAGGATTAAATTGGTGTACATAATTTATAAATAGTGATTTGAGTAAGTGAGAATGCAAACTGTTGCAGCCACTTTGGAAAACAGTATGGCGGTTCCTCAAAAAGTTAAAAATAGAGCTACCCTAGGACCCAGCAACTGCACTACTAGGTATTTACCCAAAGAATACAAAAGTACTAATTCAAAGGGATAGATGGACCCCAGTGTTTATAGCAGTAGTGTCTACTTCCAAATTATGGAAACAACCCAAGTGTCCATGGACTGATGAATGGGTAAGGAAGAGGTGGTATGTATATACAATGGAATGTTACTCAGCTATAAAAAAGAATGAAATCTTGCCATTTGCAATGACATGGATGGAGCTAGAGTGTATTATAGAGTGTATTATACTAAGCAAAATAAATAGAAAGACAAGTGCCGTATGATTTCACTCATGTGGAATTTAAGAAACAAAACAAATGAGTAAAGGGGGGAAAAGGAGAGAGAGAGAGAGAGGGAGAGGCAAACCAAGCAACAGACTCTTAACTATAGAGAAGAAACTGATGGTGGCTAGAGGGGAGGTGGGTGGGGGATGGGTTAAATAGGTGGTGGGGATGAAGGAGTGCACTTGCTGTGAGAACTGGGTGTTGTATGGAAGTGTTGAATCACTATACTGTACACCTGAAACTAACTTAACTGCATGTTAACTAACAGGAATTTAAATGAAAACTTAAAAAATATGTTGCAAAAGGCAATCTATGTTCATAAAATATTTTCACAGTACATCTTGATTTTAGAAAAGCACTTAACAATACCTTTCATGATATTTTTGCAGGTAAGAAGCCAGAGAAAAATCAACCAGTATTACTAATGTTATGTTGTTATGCTATGGGATTTAGTGTTTGATAAGCTTATGCAAATATTTTGTTGATTTGGATGTTGTCACAGAAGGCATACTTATCAAATACGTTGATGGCACAGAATTTGGAGAGATCTTCAGAATGTTGAAGTACAGAGTTGGGATTCAAAGGTTAAAATAGCGTAGAACACTATACTAAAAGTAACAAAATTATGTTTAACCAGGACAGGTGTAAAATATTATAGGTAGTTGTTTAGAAAACACCTTTATATCTATAAAATGGAAGCTCCTGTGTTCATAGCAGTGCTTATGAAAATTATTGGAGATTTCTATCAGAATATTCATGCCTTCATGAATAATAGTGTCATGTCTAGATTGACTAAGAAAATGACTCTAGGCTAGATGAGTCTAGGCTAGTCAAAGCAAATAGAAGAAGGACTGTGTTAAGTTGTGATGTTTTGAGATAAAAATTCATAAATTGGGAATTTCTAAACTGTCATGGAAGGATAAGATTGGAAGACCATAGTACAGAGAGAATCATTGAAAGGAATGGAAATACTTGTCCTGCAAAAGAGATGTAGGCGATATTTACACCTGTTTTCTGAAATGTGTAGGTCTGTATATGTAAGCGGGATTAGACTTATTTGGCATTAATCCAAAAGATTAATCCCTATAAGTTAACTAATCAATTTCTGCATTTTTCTTATGGGGAAATTGAAAATCAGGAAAGTTAAATATCTTACCCAGAGCTTATTAGTGGTAGTACTGGTTAAATAATGCCAGATTTCCTGGCTGTTAGACAAGTGCTTTTCCCAGTGTGAGATATATAACATAAATTTCCCAGAATATATGTATTACATAAAGCTGGGATCATCTATATGCTCTTTTGTATTCAGTATTTTATTAAATATCTTATGATTATGGGGCGCCTGGGTGGCTCAGTCGTTAAGTGTCTGCCTTCAGCTTGGGTCATGATGCCAGGGTCCTGGGATCGAGTCCCACATTGGGCTTCCTGCTTCATGGGGATCCTGCTTCTCCCTTTCCCTCTGCCTCTCTCTCCCCCTGTCTCTCATGAATAAATAAATAAATAAATAAATAAAAATTTAAGAAAAATCTTTTGATTATGTTGGTATCGATATTTAAAAACACTCAAAAACATTGGGAAGTGATTATAGAAACTTTTTCTTAGGGGGCAACTTTGTGAAAGCAGAATTACCAACCATAATTTACTGTATACCTCTGATAAAAACTAACCATCTTTCCAGTGTAGAGGGAGGTTGATGCTAAAGTCAGTTAGCTTAATGATTTACCTTGAGTAGCTCCCTACTCTTTGTTTGGTTTAGTATTATATATTACTTCCTTATCTATATGCTCTCTCTGGCATTACCTTATTGATGCTGAAAATAAATTCCTCCCCAAAGTGTTTAAGATGTCATGTTGCTTTTGATATAGCCATAAACTTTTTCCTTTTTTAATTGGCTTTTTAAATATGATTTTTATTTTACTCAAATTAACACATATAGGCAGTTTAAGAAGTCAAATCACTTCAAGGCGTGTAAAAATAAAACTGCTGATATCTGCCTGCCCCAACATGCCTCATTTCCAGTTCTCCATTCCCAAATGCAGTAATTTTCAACTCCTTAGCTGTATGTTGCTCTTAAACTCTCTGTTTCTAAGTAATTTGCCTATGTAGGTGTTTTTGCTTTTTCAGTTTTAGATATTATATTGAATCTCTGCTAAGAAAGATGTGGATTTAACTTTCTCTTAAACCCTGAGCCTTCCCTCAATTTTTCCCTCTCAATGTAGTTATATCATAATTTTTGGTTAGTCACTATTCTGTGTTTATATTATTACAACTACACATTTTTCTAGTTCAAATATTACATATGCCAGAGTCACATAGGTACTGTGGTCATGTTTCCTTTCTCACATAATTTTTTTTTCATTATTTCTAGGCCTTTTCAGTGGATAGAGCTAGGAAATGTGTATTTTCACTTTAAGAAAGTTTTTCATTGAAATATTTGCACATATACAGAAAATGCCCAAAATAAAAATGTATGGTTTGATGAAATTTCACACGTCCATGTAACCACCACACAGATCAAGAACATGTAACTTTTAAAATTTCTCTTGAAGATACTAATTACCTAAGTTTTTCAATTGCCTCATTTTGTGCATGTGCATTACTGTTTCAATCTAAAACTCTTCAACTGAACTGAAAGTATCCTCTCAATATATTCAAATACAGTAGGTATTCTTTTTCTTTTATTTCCTTTTATTATTGTTATCTTTTGAGGCTTCTTTCCTGGAACCCTCTAGTATGATGTGATTTACCACACAGCAGTTGTGTTTAGATATTTTTCTCCTCTCTTGTGTGTTATCTTTTCCTGATTCCTAGTTCCTCATCTCTTTTCTTGGTTTATCCCCTTGATTTTGGGGCATACCCATAGTTTTTTTTTTCAAAACATAAATGTAGTGATAACTTGTATTTCTGAAAGTGTTTTTATTCTATCCTTAACACCTGAATGGTATATTTTCTGCAGATATAATTCTTTTTTTTTTTAAGATTTTATTTATTTGAGAGAGCGAGAATGAGAGAGAGAGAGAGCACATGAGAGGGGGGAGGGTCAGAGGGAGAAGCAGACTCCCTGCTGAGCAGGGAGCCCGATGTGGGACTCGATCCCGGGACTCCAGGATCATGACCTGAGCCGAAGGCAGTCGCTTAACCAACTGAGCCACCCAGGCGCCCTGCAGATATAATTCTTATTTGGAAATTATAGTCCCATAGAATTTTGAAAACCTTGCTGCATTTTTATCTAACATCCTTTGTTGCCCTTAAGAAATCTGCTGTCAAATTCCGGGTATTTTATATAGGGTCTTTTATTTTCTTTCTTCCTTTCATGAAAGCCTTGGCCTTTTCTTTTTATTCTTGGTGTTCAGAAATTTCACAATAACATGACCTGGGGTACATTTTTTTGCACTAATTTGCTGGAAATTTAGTGGCTCTTTTCAAGCTAGAAATTCATGTATTTAGGATTTTGGGGGGAGGGTCCTAATTTTTTAAAAACATCATCTCTTCCATTTTCTTTGTATTCTTTTCTTTGGAATTCCCCTTATATGGATGTTGACTTTCTTAGCTATTCCTCTTTCTTAGTGTCTGAAAGGTAAAGTGACTTGCCAGAGGCCACACTACTAAAAAGTAGCAGAGCCTAATGTCAGATATAAGATTACCTGATTGCAGATCTGTTCTTTTTCCCCATTCTATAGTGAACAGAGGTAGATTATCCTAGTGAAATACACTACAAATAAAGTTGATCTGTATCAAATATTGTGTTATTAGTATAAATACTATAATAAATTAGTATAAATTACTATAAGTACTAAAAAATGTTCTTGTAGGAAGTAATATATAGCCATATTGGTGCTAAAATAATTATGTTGTTTGCAGCTTTATTATAACCTTTAATATAATTAGACCAAATTAAGCACTTTACAGTTTAGAAGAGGAAAAAGAATTGGTTCTGATCTCATATACCTATGTTACAGAAGGTCTCTTAAGAAATTTTGAATCTTATCCTTGGTACCATGTAGAGATGAGGATTCTTATATTTTGTTTTGGCTTGTAGTAATAGGCTGAAATAAGATAGATAGAAGTGAGCTATACTTCATTTCTGTATATGTACACTGATTTCTGTTTTCTACTAACCTGTTAGTATTAATTCTTACAGCTACAATGTCTATACTATGCGAGACATAGCTATGCTGTTTTTGCACTTAAAAAAAAAAAACGAAACAAAACTGACTTGTGTTCTTGATAATATGTGGGAAAAAAAAGCAGTGACAGTATTAGAGGCTCAGATGAGAAATGGAAGGGGGAACCAAAACAAAACCAATTCTGATTTTTTTATTCATGATAATTAATTCCTATTTAATGCTTCTATATGGCTAAGTAGCTTTTGGTAATGTTTAAATTTCACAGTTCTCAAGAACTACAATGTCCCCAACTTTGTCCTTGGTTGCATGGTTTAGAAGAAATCCTGAAAACAACCTCCTCTAATATTTTTATGGCTGGATAGATCTTTTTTTTTTTAACTAGAAATAAATGATCAATGCCATCAAAAGCCTTTTTCTCAAGCATCATAGTTTGAAAAAATTGTTAAGGAATAGGATATTTCAAATTGATATTGTAACACAGTGTGCCTTTGCAAAGTGCTCTTGGGAAGGTAAATTTTACTGTCACCAATTTTGGAAACCAACATATTTGACTCTCGCCCTTGTAAAGGTTGTCTTTCTTACTTCAAATATAATGATGCAGTTTTAAATTTTGTCTTTTTTTTAAGATTATATCAAACACTTCTATATGTTTGTATAAGAGGGAGGAATATCTATATATCTTGAGTGAAAGTCATAGGTGATTATCTTTACAGAGTTAACTAAATCAGAATGTTCCTTAAATCCTTGTTAGTCTCTCCAAAAAGTGACTTAATGTAGGTACTCAGGTGCACTTACATGTTATATATAAATTGCATTTTCTAGTAGTTGCATGCTCATAACTACATGCATAACTATTTCCAATTTAACTGCTTAATCTTACAGCTTCATAAAATAGAATATTAGGCAAAGTGAGATATCTAAGCACATTAGAATTTGAAAGTTGAAGAGATAGAGTTCATGAAGCCATAAAGTATAATAGCTTAGCTGCATGAAATTGATGAGACCATCATTGTATGTAATCTTTTCTGTACGTTAAATTTATTTTTCTTAGTGTTGGAAAAGTTCTATCCAAATATGAACCATCTTTCAGCCTTTTTAGCTTACTGTATTGCTATACGGTTTTGAATTGTACTATTAATAACTGACTTATCTTTGAGCTTAAACATGGTATTTGCAAAAAGAAAGTTAGAAGACTAATTTATAAATATGGTAATCAACTTTGACAGTTTGTTCTAGGAAATAGAAAAGTAAACTTTGTATGACTCAAAAGTTTCTCCACCCTATTACAAAGAGGAGACATTCCCAGAAACAGAAATATGAATAAAAATTACCTAATGCTTTAAGAAATATGCCCTGGGATAGGTAGTGACAGATTTATAGTTTGTTTTTTCAGTAAGATATTTCTTTCTATAGTTCCTATTAAATACAATATTTTAATAAATGTAACCAGTTTTTATACAACATAAAATGGAGTATTCTCTTGCTTTTATGAATAAAGACAACTTGCAGTATTTTCCCAGGTCAAGGTGAAAGCAGCTGTTACTGGAAAATTCACCTCCTTGGCTACTTAAATATGGAAAACTAAAAAAATATATATATATTGGTAAATTGCATATATTCTCTCAAAGCTTAAATTATCTGATACTTTTTGTAATGCAGTCTTTCAGTGCTTTTTTCATTCTACCTATTTGTTGTAAATAAGTTGTTTAATTAACTTGCTTAATGTAACAAGACCATTTTTGTTTAAATATTTAAGAACTGTATAATTTTGAACTCTCACTTATCTGATTAAGCTGTATGTACATGACATGATTTTTATATTAAATTTGAAACTACATAGCCATGGAGATAATATGTTGTAGGTATATCATAGCCAATTTTCAAGTCCACCCTTAGTACATTTTTAAAAGTCATTATTATTTTGATTGAAAATGAGTTACTTATTAAGTTCTAACATTGTAGGAATTACAAAGTAACTTTGAAGAAATATCAAAAAATAAAATAAGTTTGGTTAAGCTTCTTTATATTGGTTAAGTTTGAAAGTATTAGACCTACCTATATTATGTGTTGCATTTAAATAATGCTGACTTAATTTTTTTAAGTGTCAAATCAAATATATTTATATTGAATTTTATAATTTAAGTACTTCTAATATACTAAAACATTAAAACTGAGTATTTTGATATTTTTATATTGTAGTCCTTTTATAACAAAATTATTTTCTAATTTCTTCCTGTTTAAAAGATTTTCGAAAACAACAATGAAGAAATCAAGACCTTATAGAAAATTACCTTAACTTTAAAAAAAAATTATACATGTGTGTCAAATTTAGGCATAAGCTTCTTTTCACAGTTAAATGTAAAAGTGTTCTCTAAAGCAAGCACAGTATGACTAATTTATAGTCTGTCTACAAAAGAAAGAATTTTAAGTTTATTTTTAGAGGATCTGACTTTCGCCTGTTTCCAAAATAAGAAGTTATATTTTAAAGGAATTAAAAGAAAAAAGTTGATTTTTATTACAGTGCCTTATTTCTAAGAGCTCTAAACCCAAATCTTATTCAGTATATTAGCAGTGTAAATCTGCTATATTTATATAGCCTGGTCCAAATCTGAGCAAACCAGTAACTTTATTTATTGAGTTATTTTTAAATGTGACACATTTCAATTTATGGATGTCTTGCATTGAAAGGTACCAAAAAAAAAAAAAAAGAGTAGTTTATTTACCTTTGTCTTGTTCTTTTTGTTGCTTTCCACCTTCAGTGTTGGAGTCCTGCCCTTAAGAGAAAAACAATATCATCTGTAACGTTTCAATCAAATTATTTAAGCCTGTGTCTTATGGTTCACAGGCTAATTTCTGTATGGGTTTCATATAGTTAACGTAATTGAAAGTCGAATAATGAACTCAAATAAGTTAGACATAAAGTTGTCCTTTTGCTATTCGTATCAAATGAGAACAAATTGCTTACTTCACACCTGGAGAATCCGGTTTTGCCTGTTAGCCGCCCATTCTTTAGATTAAAGGAAGATCATTTTCATTGGAGCTAGCTGGTAACAGGAAGTCCTTGTTAAACTGCCTACATTGAGTATTCGGCACAGTCTCTGTAATTCCAGTTCTGTATTATATATAAAATACATTACAAAAAAGGTGATTTGTATTTAAACAGAGGTTACTTTGTTTTCTTTAGGTATCAAAACTTGCTAAATATAGAGAATTTAGAATAAATAGGAATGGAAACAAGCTTGGTGTAAAGACTTTTTAGAGTCCATTTACTTTAAAGTGAAATCTGTTTTATTTTAGGAAATCCCAAAGGCTTAACTCATGAAATCATCGAATTTCAGAACTACAACAGCCAGAAAAGAGCTTGTCTTTGAACCTTCCACCCCTTTCTTTTTTACTTATATCTGTCTGCTATTTTCTTTTTTTAATTTTTTTTTAAAGATTTTATTTATTTATTTGAGAGAGAATGAGAGATAGCACGAGAGGGAAGAGGGTCAGAAGGAGAAGCAGACTCCCTGCTGAGCAAGGAGCCGGATGCGGGGCTCGATCCTGGGACTCCAGGATCATGACCTGAGCCGAAGGCAGTCGCTTAACCAACTGAGCCACCCAGGCGCCCCATGCTATTTTCATTTTAAAATAAGTTACTTACATAGTTTCAGTGTAGAAAAACTAAAGTTGTGGAGCAATCTGTGATACTGTTTATAATATCAGTATAACAATTCAAAATTGATTTTTACCGGAGTGAATATTTATAAGTTTTAGAAATGAAATTTCTCTCAAACTACTAAATATCCTTACCTTTCCTTTTTTGCTGCCTGAGTTGTTATGATTTGAGGGTAAGAGGAGGGATATTACTATAATATCTATCAAAATTTGCATTTATTCTTTGATTTAGTAGTCCTAGTTCCTGGAATCTGTTCCAAAATAAGAAATAACTCCTTCACACACTTACTCTTCACAGCACTCTTTGTGAAAACAAATCACTGGAAACAACCCAAAAGTCCTTCAGTGTAGGCTTCACTGAATAAATGAAACATCCGTATAATGATCATTTTGCTTATTAATGAAGAATATAGTAATAAAAAAGATTTCTTTGTACTGCTCCAGGGTAATTTTAGGATTTACTATTTTTTAAAAAAGCATGATGGTGCACAAGAGTGTACATAGTATACTAACTAGCTCTAGTGGAAGAAATGGAGGGTAGAGATACACACACGCAAATACCCTCCCCATCACCAGTCAATAGCAATGAATTTCCATAGTCCCCAAATTGTGTGCTTTAAAATACCATTTCCCCCATATACATGTTTGTATTTTCCAAAAGGAACAGTGGGAGGATGAACTAAAAACTAATGAAAATAGTTACCTATAGGAAAATGGAAGGAATAGAGAAGAAAAGGGACAGAGATGGAAAATCGTTCTGATTGTACCTTGTTTTTATAGTTTTGAATTTGGAACCATATAAATGTTTTAAAAATTCAGTCTTAAAAGAATAAAACTATCTCTAAAAGGCAAAAGAAGCCTGAAACAAATGAACCCGGGTACATATCTAGGTGGTGGGATAGCCACACAGAGAAGGATTATTCCAAGTAATTTAAAAACTGAGTATTTTGACCCATGCATCTTTTGTGGGATGTATATTAGAGACAAAAATATTCACAAAGAGATCTTTTGACCTGCATTTAGTAGGATTTTTAGTAATAATATTGGTATTGTTATGTTGAAACTTATATATGTTGTAGGATAAAGAAATAATGTTAATATATTAGGAACTAGTTTTCAGGCATAAGAAAAAAAGAGATACAAATTAAGCTAAGTAAAATGTAAGTAATATTTGATTTAAAATGGAAAAATCAATATGAGCTCATGATTTTTTTTCTTTCTTACAAAACGACATTTTTCCTAGCTTTATTCACTGAGAGGGTCTAGAAGCAATAGCATTAATAGCAATAAATGCCCATAGTCCCCAGGTTGTGATCTTTAAAGTACCATTTCCTTCCTTACTGAAAGGAATCAGGGCTCCTTAGAGAAATTGATGATTCCAGGTCTGGGACATTGTTTTTTTGTTTGTTTGTTTTGTTTTTTTTTAAATGAGAAATCAAAGAAGCTACCAAAGCCTATTTGAGTTGTACCGAAAGAACACAGGAGCTAGTTCAAACGGGATTCCCACTGACCAAAAATGGGTAACTTTGAGCCTCAAAAATAACAATGACTATAATAAATTGAAACACATCAAATACATTTTTATTTTTATTTTTTTTTATTTTTTTTAAAGATTTTATTTATTTATTTGAGAGAGAGAATGAGAGATAGAGAGCACGAGAGGGGAGAGGGTCAGAGGGAGAAGCAGACTCCCTGCTGAGCAGGGAGCCCGATGTGGGACTCGATCCTGGGACTCCAGGATCATGACCTGAGCCGAAGGCAGTCGCTTAACCAACTGAGCCACCCAGGCGCCCCTCAAATACATTTTTAAAATCCATGAATTCATAATGATATCCCCCTACAAACCAAAGAAAGCAATTTGGGGGTTGATAGGGCACCAATTCATTCTTATGAAAACTAAGAAATGAAGGCAAAAATCAAACATTTATGTTGACTTTCATCTGAATTGTATTTTAAGAGTTACCAAGGAGTTGATGAAAGCTTACTTTTTTTTAAAGCAAAATCCAGCTAGTAAATTCAGACATTCAGAGTAAATTCTAGTTCTAATTCATAGAACTAGAAAAATCATGATTTTTAACCTCTTATAAAATAATGAAATTAAGCAAAGGTCATTAATGGCTGTTAAAATCATTCGATGAAAGAAAGGTTAGTAGGGCACTTTATTTTGGATGAATCAAGCTGACTCCAGCCAAATCCACTGATCCATTTTAAAATCACTAAATGTTCTATAACTAGATATTCTATGCCTTCTCAGTATCAGCACCATCTGTGAAATATGCTTGTCAAGATTTCAACTTGAGGGCGCCTGGGTGGCTCAGATGGTTAAACGTCTGCCTTCGGCTCAGGTCATGATCCCAGGGTCCTGGGATCGAGTCCCGCATCAGGCTCCCTGCTCCTTGGGAGCCTGCTTCTCCCTCTGCCTCTCTCTCTCTCTCTCTCTCTGTCTCTCATGAATAAATAAATAAAAATCTTAAAAAAAAAAAAAAGATTTCAACTTGAAACTCATCCAGCCTGTACATCTAACTGCAGATGTCACATCTACAGATGTGCATCTAACTATAGATATAGGAAATACTGGGTATGCATGTTAAAATGACCTTATAAGGAAGATAGTCGAATCCTAAACACAGGAAATTCTATAAAATTCTATAGAAATTCTATAGAAATGGGACTTGTTTTGTTTTCAAATAAATGTCATGGAAGGAAACGAGGTGGTAGTGGTGGTATTGCAGGGGTGTAAGTGTTGGGACTAGGGACAGTATTAAAAAGATTTAAATGAATACGTTGTAATGTGTATCTTGTTTGGATCTGAATTTGGACATAACAAAAAAGATTGAAGAATGTTAGTTTTTTTAGGTGTGATAGTGGTGTTATGGTAATGTTTTTTTAATTTTTTAATTTTTGGGTGAAGTAACATAACTGGGCAGGGAAAGTAGAGGATATGTAGATGAGCAAGAATGGCGTAATGTTGATAATTTTTAAAGGTAGGTGATAAGGTTTTATTAGATTTATTATTCTACATATTTAATAAATAATATATATTTGCCTCTGAAATGTCTGTCAAACCCTGACCAAGACAGTGTTTTATTAAACTTTTGATCTCTGCCATGTGATAGGCAAACAGTAATTTGTAGTAATTTTTGTAGTAATTCCTATTTTTAATTAATTAATTATTTATTTATTTTAAAGATTTTATTTATTTATTTGACAGAGAGAGATAGTGAGAGCAAGCAGGGGGAGTGGAAGAGGGAGAAGCGGGCTTCCCGCCGAGCAGGGAGCCCGATGCGGGGCTTGATCCCAGGACGCTGGGATCATGACCTGAGCCGAAGGCAGAGCTTAACGACTGAGTCCAGGCACCCCAATTCCTATTTTTTTAATAACTTATTTTGGTTTTTCATTTTGTTTTTCCCCAGTTTGTTCCTAACTGATCAGCATGGTTTTTATGCCCAATGCTATGCCAAGTAAATTAAAAGTGACCCTACCTTTCCAGTAAGTTGTACATTTATGTGGACACATTCACACACTGAGAATACAGATGAGCTTAAATATTACAGGCTCAGTATGACTATCTGGGTGTTTAAAACATGATACAGTTTGTATTTTAGGAAGATAAGGACATAACGTGAAAGTTGGAATTGATGGCTGAGAGCAGTGGAAGTCCATTTCTTTTTCTCTTTGTAGCATTTTTTGTTGCTGGCCTATTTCCCTATTGCTTGTGTTCTTGACTCTTCTGTTTAGTGGATTTGTGCTTTTTATAGGCCAGTTCTTACCAACTTATTTTAGCAGTAATAAATCAAGAAAAAATGATGAAATAGATACTACAATTCTTTTTAAAAAAAGATTTATTTGAGAGAGAGAGAGAGAGAACATGAGCGGGGAAAGGGGCAGAGGAAGAGGGAGAAGCAGACTCCGCTGAGTAGGGAGCCTGACGCAGGGCTCAATCCCAGGAATCCTGGATCATGACCTGAGCTGAAGACAGACACTTAACTGACTGAGCCACCCAGGCACACCAACACTACAGTACTCTTTTGAACCAGTGTGTTCTGTAATCAGTATGCTTAATTAAATCTTTGGAATAAGAACATGATCACAATATTTTTAAGTGGCTTTATGATTATGTATTTGCTATAAAACTACTTCATTTATATCTCTCTAGGTTGGCAAATAAACAAGACAAGGAAGGGGCTTTAGGAGAAGCTGATGTGATTGAATGCCTGTCTCTGGAAAAATTGGTCAATGAGCACAAGTGCCTATGTCAAATAGTAAGTTTTTGGTGTTTTTTTGCCCTATGAGATATGTTCAGCATAACTTA